CGAGTACCGTGCGCCGAGTCAGAAAAGGGAGCAGGTTCCAAGAGCCTCCCTGTCTATGAACTAAAGGTCACGTGTACAAACGGCATAAATAGCGGTGCAACCTGGTTCTCAGATCAAGTTTATTCAGCAACAAAGTGGTGAAAGCTGGAACCGGTTGTCAAAGGAATTAGTAGACTTAAGAAGCGTGACTGCATTTAAGCACGCTCTGGATGGAGCTCTTTTAAGAGCAAAATTATCAATGTACTACGGAATGCTTACACGGTTCATATACCTTGTTTGCAGAAAAGGTAAAATAAGTCTACCTTTTTTTCTTTCTTTTCAGTAAGGACGTCGTACTGGAGGCAATTAGCAGTGATGGGTGCCCACTTTGTAAGCATAATACCAGAATAAACCTGGACGCTCGATTGAGTGGCTATTATTACTCGTGTGTAGCTTGACCTGACCTATCAAGAGTGTTCATTGTGACGGTTGTACAGCGCCATCGGCTGGATACGTATTGGTTGTGCTAACACCAAATGGAATACAAGTTTCTGGACTCGTTCAAGTCCAAGTTTGTGAAAACTTAGTGCTCAATGTTTAGTGAAACCGCGTCCGGACATCCCCACACCGGACTCCAACAAATCCGTCGGAGCTGGATGTGACGGCAATTCACCATCAGCCAACGAGTTCCTCACTACCACTACCCCCCTACCACCATCCAATACAGTTAGTGTCTGGAGGAGAAAGAACAGGCAGATGGCTCCACTACAAGCTGCCTTTGTTCCTAGTGATAAAACCAATTTCGTCGATATGGCTCCACTATCGAGAGCGCAAAAGTGCGCCATTATAGAACGAGTAGTGTGATTCCGATTATTCAGCTGCAAACAAACGTCAACCAGGTTTGTGCTGACGGTGAATGGAAAAGAACCCGTGACTGCAACCCCCCACCATCGCCCAGTGTCTGATTGTAGTTAACCTGCCGGCTCTGCGATCGGAAGTTAAACAGCATCGCTGTTTACCAGTAAGTTCAAACATTCAGAAGTTCTAGGATTTTTAAAGTCTAAATTCCCTTTTCACTTAGGCGCATTCAATGTCCGCACATTCTACCAGATCGGTAAACAAACTGCCTTAGCTAGAACCCTTGGAACATTCAATTTAGACGTATGCATGTGTCGAAGACACACGCATACAAGGCCCTACTTTAATCATCTCCCAACATTTTCCCGACCCAACCTCATCCTCACGCTCCACCCTTCCGGTTTCAGGCAATTCGGCATCCGATGCTTTCGATGTTGCTGGTGTTGGGATTGCCAAAGCTGATCGCCCACTTCTTGACTGGATTCTTGTAAGCTGCCGACTGCGCGTTGTACGTCTCAACGGTTCAGTACGGGTCAACAGCTACGGAACAAGGCGTCGATGCTTATTCGTCGTTTCGGTGTATGCACCACCCGTTTGCAGTACACCTGAAACCAAGGATTAATTCTACTACGATCTTTCTCAATTTCTCCAAAGTATTCGATCAATGGACGGCGTAGTGGTCACCGGAAACTTCAGTGCTCAAGTGAGATCCCTTAATAAATCAGGAAGGCTTTTTTCCAGACCACACAATCCCAACCGACCGGACGGACAACGGAGATCGCCTAATTTAACTCTGCGCTGGCCACGGATTGTCCCTGTCAAGCACGAACTCGTACAAGAAGCGACACCACCTTACTTGGAAACCGCCAACCTCCACAGCGATGGACACAAATCGACCACGTCGCTATCGGTTACCACTAGAGGGTGTCAATCCAAGACTGCCCCTCTGACTGGTCAGTACCAGTGGATACAGACCAGGCTTTGTTACGAGGCACATTCGGACTACGCCTGACAAACAACCACAATAGGGCCGCCGACCACGGATACCCGCGATTTGATGTCAGTGATATTCGCAAATCGGCCTTCGAGGGGAGCTATCCGATCACCTACCGGTTCAATCATCAGCTGAAAGATTCAATAAACACTGGCAGCAAATCAAGGAAGCTATGCAGATATCGAGAAGGACAACGGTGGACTCTGGAACAGGCTTGAAGCACAAACTGTGGCTCTCGTCGACCTCGACTGCCCTACTGGACGCCCGCAGAACCCTCCGGATGTCACATATGATACACCACGCAAATCTCCCAAACGCCAGCTCGTCAAGAGTCTGAGGAATGATCGCGAGAAGTGGAGGATAGGAAAGTGCAAAGAGATGGAGAAGGCTGCGGCTATTGGCAATGGTCGCAATCTTTTCCGTCTAATTAGGTATACGGACCCTCAGGTAAATAGTGAGGTAATCAAGGAATCCGATAGCACACTGATTCACCATCGACAACGCCGTCTTGATCGATGGACTGAATATTTTGAGACTCAGTTCAACTGGCCCCCATCGACAGCTGACCTATCATCTCCCTACCTCGACTGGGCAAATACTCCCAGTTGATGTCAGTTCTCCATCTGAACTGGGGGGTTCCCGGAAAATAAATTATCTCAAAAGGTATGAGGTCTCCGGCCCGGATGGGCTGTTCCAATCCTTGTTTAAGGATGCAGGTTCAGCGTTCTTGTTACAGCTGACGAAACTCCTGTGCTCACTATCAGAGAGAGAACAGATTCTAAAAGTATGGTATGGATGCGTCATCTTACAGATTTACAAGAGAGGTGATAAATCCTCTTGTGAAAACCACAGAGGAATTAGTTTAATCTGCACCCATCACGACGAGACTGCACATTGACGTGGTGTGATGGCTTGCGTGCCTCCATGACCGTGCGAGCTACATAGCCGTAGATCCAATCATGCCTGAAAGATCAACGGGTAGAGGCCAGACGAAGCTCAGTCTCCAAAGCCAACTGCTTGGACACCTGGCTTCTTTCTTCTATCCAAACGCCCCTGGAGAGGCCACTCCAGCAAATAAACACGGTGAGGGGCAGTTTACAGGTCAAAAAACCCGCTAGATGGACATAAAAGCGGGGACCTGGGGCTTCTCTCGACGGTGGGAGAATTCTTCGCACTTCATTGGACAGCTACCCCCCGCCCAAGCTGGGCAGCCCCCAGCCAATAAGGTGCTATCCCGTCCACGTTCCGCTTGTCTCATTGAGCGCATGAGGCTGAGGGCCGATCTCAAAAAGTGGACCGACAATCAACGCACCAGCAAACAACACAATTAAGCGAAATTCAAAGGCCTTGCATGACAGGTCTCTAGAAGCTCCCATACGGGTGCTCCGTTCACGCTCCCGCGTTGGATTTACGCCCCACTGCCTTGTAGGTCAGACTTTTACGATACCCATCGCATATCACTCAGTGTTCAACTAATAAGGTCAACTACTCAGAGGCTACCAGATTTTTAAAACCAAAATCCACTTTTCACTTAGCCGCACTCAGTGTCCGCACACTACCAGATCGGCCAAAAAACCGCCTTAACTAGAACCCTTGAAACCTTCCATTTTGATGTATGCTGTCTCCGATACACGTGTACAAGGCCCTACTTCAGTCATCTTCCTCCGTTCTCCAGATCCAGCCTAATCCTCACGCTTCACTCTCCGTGTGTCAAGCGATTCGGCATCCGAAGCTGGCGGTTTTGTTGGTGTTAGGATTGCGCTAAGTGACAAGACCGAGCGTTCACTTCTCGATTGGTTCCCAGTTAACAGCTGACTTTGCGCCGTACGTCTGGATGGCTAAGTACGCGACAACAGCTACAGAGCAAAGCGTGGACGCTTATTCGTTATATCTGCGTATGCACCGACAGATTGCAGTTCACCAGAAACGAAGGATGTATTCTACAAGGACCTCTATCAACTGCTCCAAAGTGCTCGGTGAACGGACTTTGGGCTAGTCGCTGGAGAATTCAATGCTCAAGTGGAATCCCTAAATGAATCAGAGAGGATACTCGGCGGTTCGCATGCAATCTCAGCCAACAGGACTGACAACGGAGAACGTCTACTTCAACTTTGTGCCGACCACGGACTGTTTTTGTCAAGCACGAACTTCTCGCACCAAAAACGCCATCGCCTTACGTGGAGACCGCCAACTTCTTCACAGCGCTGGACTCAAATCAACCACATTGCCATCAGCTACCACTGGAGAGGAGCCATTGAAGACTGCCGCTCCTACTGGTCAACGCCCGTGGACACGGAACATGCTCTGCTACGAGCGAGATTCTCCCTGCGCATGATAAAAAAACTGCAGAAAAGCCGTCGAAAACGGATGCCCACAATACAGTATCACCGTCAGTTGCAAGTCGGCCTTGGATTATGGAAACAAACGGATGCTCGTGCGAGGATAGCGGTATCGATTTACTTCCAGGTGGTAGACTATCTGATCTAGAGTATAGAGATAACATTGTGCTTCTAAGTGAAGATAGGGTAAGTTGCAGGCTTTTCTGGATAGTTTGAGTGCTAGTGTGTCCATGTTCGGGATGCGTTTTGCACCTTCAAAGTGTAAAATGCTACTACAAGATTGGGTTGGTCCAGCACCCAGTCTCACCCTAACTGCGGAAGTAGTAGAGGAAGTGGACAAATTTTGCTATCTGGGCAGCTATATCTCATCTGGCGGACGCATCACAGATGAAGTATCGGCGCGGATACGAAAGGCTCGGTCGGCGTTTGCCAACTTGAGACATTTGTGGCTCCGTCGCGACATCCGGCTCTGTGAAGTGTCGAGTATAGGTTGCAGCAGTTCGGCTAGTGCTGCTCTACGGTGCAGAGGCTCGGCCACTACGGGAACAGGATAAAAATAGATTGTCGGTGTTCGGACACCGCTGACTACGTCGCATTGCACAGGTCTGGTGAGGAAACCGTTTTTTCTTTGAATCTTCTTCCAATTTTCCCGTATTTCTCCTACTGATTCATCCCAACGGGCAACCGAAACCGGCGCATGAAAGTTCATCGTTTATAGTTGTCTAAACTAAAACTGACTAGTTACAATCCGAGAAACAGTATCATCAGCGTAAACATCATCATCATACAGTGAATTACAGTGAAGCGCATTGATCGTTGCCAAACTCACAATGCGTACAAAGTTAGAGGTAATGTGTACGGTAGTCGGGGAATGAACCTATTTCGAAGAAGGGGAAGAAGTTCAACCTCTATGGTCAAACCAGAGTACACAATCTAACTGTGCATACACGCCGTTTCAAGCATTCTAACCAGCTAAAAATAACAACAAGAACACCATTTCTGTCGATGCACTACCCTATCGTAACCAACCAGTTGCAGTCTTTCGGACTCCAACTCGGAAGGCGCGAGACACCTACTCTACCGAATAGCTATACTCATTTCTTCATGCCTCGTCTCCACGTCACCTGCTGACCACGTGGTTTCCTTCAACCCGGAGCGGCTGCAGCGGATGAGGTTCATTGGGGCAAGCAACATTCGGACATACGCAATACGTGCCTTAACCAACGAAGCCTACTTATTTGTATTCGCTGTCCTAACAAATTTATCCCCAAACACCACGGCTTATCTCCAGATTACTAACCCGTTCGCTCCATCCCACGTTAGCTAAACTATGTAAACACCAATAATCAAAAGACTTCCGGTCGATGAACATCTTTGACTCACAAATTCAAGGTCTCACAACCATGAAGCAGAACTGAACGAACACTAGCACGATATACACAACCTTTCAACGTCTGTGAAATGTCGCAGATCGAGAGCTAGAGGGATGGCCCAAGGGACACGACAGATTTCCATAAACAAGTGCTACTTCTACTTGTCATCCCTCACAAACACTAATGGTCGAGTGATATACATATATATATATGTGTGTGTGTGTGTCACCCGTAATCAGTCCTAACTTGTTATTCTATTTTCAGAGATGCGCGTTCTGGAGCTGTATTCTGGAATCGGTGGAATACATTGTGCCTTGAAAAGTACACCGCTTAACCTTCCTCCCCACATCATTTAGAATCGAAATTATCATACTCGATTGTCAGTGCTATCGATATCAATGATCTGGCTTCGTCCGTTTACAGTCACAATTTTCCGCAGTCACCAGCATCCAACCGCGTTATTGAGGTATATCTGCCTTTAGTCGAAGCCACGGTTTCAGGGTCTTTCCGTGGAAGAAGTGAGACGTATGAAGGCAGATTTGTGGACTATGAGTCCACCGTGTCAGCCGTTCACGCGTCTTGGAAATCAGCTTTGTGAGGCAGATAATCGGAGCGTGTCGTTTATCCATGTTCTGGCGCTACTTGCTGTGTAAGTGTGCTGCTGTTTAACTCATTTTTCAGGGTTCAACCAGACTTTGTTTTCCTTGAGAACGTGAAAGGCTTTGAATCGAGTGAATCTTGTGCCAGGCTTTTGGAAACGTTAAGCACAAACGGATATACCTTTCAGGTACATCGTTACAGACTAAAATGATACCGCTTTTAAATCTTTGTTGCAGAAGGGGACATTACTCTTGCCTGGTTTTTCTGTACTTGTACTTACTTCTGCTGTTATTAAAATGCACTTTACGCACGGTTTTCTGATTTTGAGGATTCACGAATTTTTGTCACCTAAACTAGCACCGGCTAAATTTTTTTAAATTTTCTCTTGCTTCCCTATGCAGCAGTTTCTGCTATCTCCCCTGCAATTCGGTGTACCAAATTGTCGCTTACGGTATTACCTAGTCGCCTGGCGGAGCTCGGGGCGCCCCAATCCATTTCAAACGGAACCACACACTTCAACCATTTTGGATAAGCCCCCAACAGGCTTATCTCCTCTTCCGGATTGCATTTGCTCAGTTTGTACAGGCCGCGTGCAGTGAGTATATGATCGAAGTTCTATTTTTTTTAATATTAATGGTTTTAAAACCGAATTATTGTATATTTTACGTCATTAGCCTTGTGTGATGTAGAGGTTACTTTGACTCCAGGTCAAATACACCAAGTGCCATAATCCGAATTGACATATATGGGACTTGGAAGCTAAAAAATCCGTAAATGAGGAAGGAAGAAAGGCTGTTCACAGAATAATAATTCCTTGGCTCAGGAATAAGTTCGATTCCCCACTGGAATGTTCACCCCTCTAGTGGTGGATGGGTGAATACTTAATACACGAACAAATATATTGGTTCCTACTTTCTTTTACAACATATTCAACAACAAAAGGTATCTGTGGTACATTCATCTCACGCCCCTCTATCGAAAGAGGAAATGTTTTGGTTGACACTTGTCAGATCTGTGGAATTTGTTTGAAGAGATCTCGAGGGTTTTTGTGTTTAATCATTATTGTCCCTTAAACGAAACCCACATTTGGTGGCAAATGCATCTGAAAGTGATGGATTCCGATGTTGAATATAGAATAAATAATGGACTGACTGAAATGAATATACCACACCGCTTCTGATGACTTCGATACGTTCTGCACCTGGCTTTTCACCAGGTCTGTTTAGCTATAAAAAGTGCCGCAGTCGTTATTCCGTGACTTGTAAAATAACGACCATTTTAACAGCAGCACTGGCCTCGGTCGCTCCTCCCCGACTGTCCACTTAGGATCATTGATTGCGAACTTCTGGGAAGTGATCCAGCATTAATACCAGCAATATGGACTTAAGTTCAATTCCAGTTTTACTCAAGAAGCAACAATACCGAAAACTGTTTGACGTGAAAGAGTCGAATAAATATTTCCTTCGTTTTATCGTATTAGTACTGTTTGTCCAAATCGTTTCCTTTCATTTATGCCTCAATTCTCTATCTTTCGTTGTTGCGTTGGCACCATGCTTTTAACTAAACCCATGTTCCACCCTCATTTTTGTGCTATTCACAACACAGGATGGCAGTATCAAGGACTGCCCTAGGAATTGCTTTAATAGATCCGCTTCGTACATACATTTCTCCGGGGTGAAAACAAGACATTCACCAACTTTGGAGGCGCTGGATCTTTCGAGGGCCGATAAGCGTGAAGCGCGCTTCATTGGAGTTTACATTAACTAATTTGTTCCCAACTAACTACTCTACTAATAGTCTCTCTAGAGAAATAATTTTGTTAGGATACTCGAGCCATGTACAGGTTTATCAATGAAACAACACCAGGCGTGTTCGAAAAGACCTATCATGTTTGCTTGATTAAGCTAAATTTGCTTTCCTTTTTTCCTATCCTTAGGTCGGTTAAAACGCATGATGACAATTTCTCCGAATATATCCCTCATTGCTTACCAGTGACCAATTTTTTGACACCTGATACTGAAGTGAGTAACCTTTGAATCCAACCATATTCGAGTAGGTGAAACAAGCATCCACTTTCATCGCAGACGACTGTTTGAAGCGGTATTTCTACGTAATGGACATTGTTCGGCCTTGCGATCGGAAGACACGATGCTTTACGAAAGGTTATACAAAACGTGTTGAAGGCACCGGTTCCGTATTGCAAACTGCCCGTTTAGATTTGGTAAGTTGAGAGTCATGCTTAGATGCTACTTCGTGTTTCCGTCCCCGTTGCTCCATGCCATCAAACACGGATTTAGTGTTTTTCTTTTGTGCTTGCGTAGAGTTTTTACTCGTAGACGCGTAGAAGCAGTGCAACTATGCCGAATATTTAGTACGTGCATTTCTTCGTGTGACAAACAGCACGAAAGTTGAATTTCGGAGTTACAGGAACCCACTGTTCCGTCGTGGATACCGGTAACGGAACGCCTAAGATATAGAATGCAGATCAGATCACGCCTCGATGGGATAGATGTAGTACTGACTCGGGTGACATTTAATTTGTCTACCACCAAGTTTGACTTGTATATTTGCAGGGTTCTGACCTTAACGCTTAATTCATGCCACAGTCAGTCATTTGGACCGCACGTCCACTAATATCAGTCATAAGTTGTCATGTAAATTTTAGGCTGCACATATTTGGGACCGGTGAGAACCTTACATGTATTGTGTTCTAGGAGGTATATATTTCCTCACACCCCTGAATTCAGACTGTACCAAACAAATCACGTTACAACAGTATTTATAAAAAGGGTCCATAGTTTGCTGGAGGGCGAAGTACCGCTAGGTTGTCCAGACCAAAAGTAGGTTAATTTTCTTGGAGAATTCACCACCGTAGCCTTCGTCAAATCAAAGCCTGGCCCACAAAGCAGAGAGGTAGTGTGTCAAAACTGCATTGCGTGGGAAACCGGTGTCCGGTTCGTCGGATTATCCGCCCTTTGAGCGGGGTCCAACGTCCAAGGTGGCCAATAAAACGCGATGCATAATCGAGCCGGTGACTACTATCATGACCAGGAAGGTGTGTGCATACAAACGGCCGTTCTTGGTTGGTTTGGAATCAGGGTTTTCGGCCAACTCCTCTAGATGAACTGCCAGTGGTTCACCGACCCGGTAACACTCCGGACATTGGCTTTCTGTCCTCTCACTTTGGTGCGAAAACACGTACGTCACCAGATGGCAGCGAGTAGGGTTTCCTCAGCAAAGTCTATTTGAGACACTTAGTCTTATGGCAGCATTTCACGAGGTTCAAGGGAGGAGTGACTAGCCGCAACCCGAGACACCTACCGCCGACCATACTGAGGTTTTAGGATGCAATGATCCGTTGAAGCAATCCACAGATTTAAACTAATTTGGAGGAACAATCTAGTAAAATGAAGAAAAGGTTATAGGAGATTCCAGACCCCGTGGGGAACGGAAAATGTGGTCATTTAGATGAGGCAGTATATCAACATCTGTTCCACTTTTCACCATCCAACAATTTTAGAAGATATCGGTTAACAATATCTGATAGAATAATTGTTTTGCTGTTTCTAATAGGTTTATTTCCCTATTTTCAAACTAATTGCTCTCCTCAAATGTATGGTCGCGTTTATTCTGCTCATCATATATATGTAAACTAGTTATCTAGATTTTGTCGGAAGCACCACATATGCTTGTGAAGGTTTGCTGCTCTCCGGATTCCCCTGATCGAACAAACCAGAATCACGTTCGTGTTCCAATCCGGTGCCTCATACTTTCGTGATGCGAGATTCAGTCATTCGTTGGTGCTTGAATTTCAGGTCATTTGACCATACAACGTTTGAATGGAGTCGGTTAGTCACTGCACTCCGTAAATGTGAATAACCAATCAAGTCGATGATCATTGCCGAAACGGGGAACGTTCGGTTCGCACGCTGGTTCATTTCATTGGAATCAAGGTTTTTTGTGAACTCCCTAAAGTAAACAGCTGACCCAGTCATGAACCTGGGTGTTGACCTTTTGTTCTCACACTTTAATAGGATAACACCATTGTCATGTAAAGATAGTACGTAGGATTTCTTCTCCCTCCTGTTAAATACCACGCCTAACGTAGCGATATATATATATATATACCACCGGCTTGTAGATAAGCATGGTGCCAACGCAACAGCAATAATAACAATAACAATAAAAAGGGACAGGTGGATTGGGGTACAGAACAGAGTGAAAAGGGTTTGAAACGTAGCGAGGCCGTACATGGTTCGTCACTCCAAGTCTTTTGGCTTAGGCTGACGGTCTCCATCACCTAGCAGCAGGATATTATGGGGTCCAAGCGTTCTGTTTATCCTGTCGGATAAGTTTCAGTTTCAGTTTTTACAACCACTTTCGTGCGCCGGCTTTAGTTACTATATTTTGGTCGCCCATTTGGATAAAAGAGCAGGAGAAAGATTGGAATGTTGAAAGCAAATTCAAGCGGAAGATGGAGAATTCATATAGAATAGTGATAGGAGAATAATGACGGGATGCACGATCGCCACTGTTTACGACACCCAGCCATATCACTCAGTGTCTCTAACCATCGGTGACCATCATCCCGAGGTCCCCAGCCAGGGGCCTGACGTGACCTTTGTGACTTAGTATCCTGGTTAGGGTTTTCATACCCTCATATCAGGTCATCGTTTGACCACACTTGATCTTTTATCAACCGCTACCAGCCTTGGTAAACATAGCTCACCGTGGCAACCTATCTGGTGATATGCGTAACACATGTCCCAACCAACGTAATTTATGCAGGTCGATCACTTGCCCCAGTGGACGACCGCGGTTGTCTGAAATTTTGCGTCTGACCTCAGCATTGCTCTCCCGGCTGCCCCACCAGGTTCGTGCAATGCTGCGTAGATAGCGATGTTCAAGCACCGCCAATCTATCTTTATCCTTTTCTTCATGACCAAGTTTCTGCTCAATATAGCAGAACTGGCCGAACTGTTGCAGCATACACTCGACTCTTCACAGACAGCCGGATGCCGCGAGGGCGCCACAAATGTCTCAAGTTGGCAAATGCCAACCGAGTCTTTGTATCCGCGCCGACATCACATATATGATGCGTCCGCCAGATGAGATATAGCTGCCCAGATAGCAAAATTTGTCCACTTCCTCTACTACTTCCGCAGTTAGGGTGAGACTGGGTGCTGGACCAACCCAATCTTGTAGTAGCATTTTACACTTTGAAGGTGCAAAACGCATCCCGAACATGGACACACTAGCACTCAAACTATCCAGAAAAGCCTGCAACTTACCCTATCTTCACTTAGAAGCACAATGTCATCTCTATACTGGAAGTAAATCGAAACCACTATCCTCGCACGGGCGTCGGGTTGTTTCTATGATCAAATCTATTACAAAGTTACATAGGAAAAGTTAAACAGAGCAACCCTGACAAACACCACTTCGTGGTGAACTCGGGCGAAAAAGTGCCGTAAGCTGGGACTCGACTTCGGCTATTAGTATAATGCGATCGTAATATTGAAATTAACTTCTCGGGCACACCTTTCAGAGAAATACAGCACCAGAGTTTAGAGCGGTCGACGGAGTCGAAAGCCGCTTTCAGATCGACGAGGATGTCGGTGCCCCAGAGCTTGGCGAAGAGTGAATATGTGGCCGATACAAAGACCAGGTCTAAAGCCAGCTTAGTTCTCATGCGTACACTGTTCACGTGCGACAGACAATCGACGGTGTATGATACCAGTGAGAAATTTAGAAACGATTTTGATTAAATTAATTCCTGTATGGTTTTCACAAGAGGATCTGCCACCCGTCTTGTAAATTGGTATGATCACCGAATCACGTCATTCGGTTGGAACCTCTTCCCTCTCCCACAATGAGCCCCGGAGTTTCGTTAACTTCGAAACTAGTGCTGAACCTCCATCCCTAAAATCCGAGGGGACTGAAAGCCTCATACCTTTTGAAATAATTTATTTCTCGGGTAATCTCCTTTTCAGCTGGAGGACTGATGTCAACTGGCAATATTGGCACAGTTGAACCGGGTGACGGTAGGTCTTGTGTCGAACGGGACCAGCTGAACTGTACCTTAAAATGTTCTGCCCAACGTTCAAGACGACGTTCCTGAATTTGAATCAGTGTGCCGTCAGACTCCTTAATTACCTCACGCCTACTTTCCTTGGTCCTGTACTCCTAAGTAAACGAAAAAGATTGCGACTATTACCGATAGCCGAAGCCTTCTCCGTCTCTCTACACTTCCCTACCCACCCTTTCTCGCGGTCATTCTTCAGTCTCTTGATGAGCTGGCGTTTGGGGGTTTGTGCGCTTTATCGTATTTTTCATCCGAAGGAATGGCTTTGCGAGCGTCCAGCAAGGAAACCGAGGTCGACGAGATCCATCGTTTGTGTTTTGAGCCTGCGTCAGGGTTTTGATCGACGTGTGGATCACTTCCTTGATTGTCGTCCAGTATTCAGTGAGTACTTGGACTGATGGTTGAGCTGAGACACTATCTGATTGTTTCGCTCCTGTCGGATAAACATTGATCATAATCCAACAGTCCCTTATTTTGCCCATATCCTAGCAGAAACTAAGGAATTCCTAAACGCATTAATTCTATATCTGCAAAGACGATAACTTGCGTACGATTTTTTTACTGCAATGTAGGCATAGTTGCTTGCAAAACTAATTACATTACAATACCATACTCAAAAATGTGAAATAAAAAAGGTTAGTCTGTTCGCGGTGTTCGGATATGGAATCATTTTACAAAGTGTACGTTGGCCCGCTCCCAGCCATAATGAAGTCTACGAAGCATTTTCGGCAGGCGAGTCCGTTTACAGTAAGTGTTTTCAAGGGTGCGTGCCTCTAAAAGAAACGAATAAAACGATAGGTAGAAAAAAATAGATTTGAAGCACAACTGGATTCCGCAGGATTTTCTCCCTTTTTTTAACCATGCTGATCCCCTTTAGAGTTTCCTTTTTCTCTTGTAATCATTATCAACAAAACCGTTGAATACCCACCTGGATCATGTGCTTCCTATGAATGCCCAGATGATCTGTCAGGATCGAATGCATGCTGCTAGTGTTTT